GACAAGACTGAGCTGCTCTTCCTTCCGGGAAAAGATTGTCCCACTCTTGACCTAACAATCAACATCGGCACCTCAGTTGTTTCCCCGACTGAGACTGCAAGGAATCTGGGTGTGACCCTAGATAACAACCTGTCCTTCACTGCAAACATAGCTGCTACAACCCGTTGCTGCAGATACACGCTTTACAACATCAGGAAGATACGTCCCCAGCTGACACAGAAAGTCACACAGGTTCTGGTCCAGGCTCTCGTCATCTCACGCCTAGACTACTGCAACTCCCTCCTGGCTGGTCTACCTGCATGTGCCATCCGACCTCTGCAGCTCATCCAGAATGCAGCGGCTCGTCTGGTCTTCAACCTTCCTAAATTCTCCCACACCACTCCGCTCCTCCGCTCCCTTCACTGGCTTCCGGTAACTGCTAGAATCCACTTCAAGACACTGGTACTTGCTTGCCATGCTGCGAATGGATCTGGCCCTTCGTACATCCAGGACATGGTTAAACCGTACACCCCAGCGCGTGCACTACGCTCTGCATCAGCCAAACGGCTCGCTGCACCCTCGCTGCGAGGGGGACCCAAGTTCCCATCGGCGAAAACACGTGGGTTTGCTATCCTGGCTCCAAGATGGTGGAATGAGCTCCCCATTGACATCAGGACGGCAGATAGCTTACACACCCTCCAGACTGAAAACTCATCTCTTTCGACTCCACTTCGAGCGTTAGAACTATTAACGAAGCACTTTTATACTAATAAAGGACTGGCTTATCTAAAGCCAGTTGAGTAGCACTTGAAATGTTTGGCTCTATGAAACCTGATGTACTTATATGATTCTATTTTCTTCAAGGTTGTGTCTTCCTGGTCGAATGTACTTATTGTAAGTCGCTTTGGATAAAAGCGTCAGCTAAATGTAATGTAATGTAATGTAATGCAACTCAAAATGAATTGTTTTCATTGGGGACCGCCCCTTTGCACATCCCCTTTGCGCATGCGCAACATCCGTTCTGTCATTTGCCGCCTTTTGTCTAACACTGACTGGGGAAACTGACTGGGGAAACTGACGGTGGAAAGTCTATTATTTGGTAAGTATTTGTTTTTTCTAGTAGTTTAGAATGTTCCCTGTTTCCAAGTAATGCCTTTTCATAATATCGACAAGAATATTTGAAACCACCGTGTTATATTTTGCTCCGTTTTTAGTTGGGTCTAAACAGCAAGCTAGCTAGCTTGCTAAATATGGTTAGCATTGAATACTGGATAGTAGAGATCATTAGATTATATTACATTAGATTTAACGTTATTGTCATTGAACACAGTACACCGAAATTCAGTTTAAGTTCAACCAAAAAATGCAAAGAGTAATTAAAGTGCATGAGGTAAAGCGGCAAGCTAGCTAGCCAGATAACTGGTTTGTTAGCTAGCTTGCTAGATACGGTTAGCATTGGATACTGGATAATGGAGATCATTAGATTATATTACATTAGATTTAACGTTATTGTCATTGAACACAGTACACCGAAATTCAGTTGAAATTCAACCAAAAAATGCAAAGAGTAATTCAAGTGAATGAGGTAACAGTATAGGAGGCAGAGCCTGCATGCAGCCCAGCAAGGGCTGCCATTTTCTATCATAAAGCTCAGCAGGTGTGTCCATCTCTCTCCTGGCCTTAGTGCAGGCAGGCAGAGGAGGACAGGCGGAGCCACTCGTTTCTGTAGGAGTTCAGTTGAGTTGAGTTTTTTTACTGCCAAATATTTAATATAAATAATGAGATAATATATATGTGAATCTTGTATGGGTTACCTCACTCACAAGCAGGCACCCAGAGTTGTGCAGAAATGTAGGCCTGCTTTATAAAACATGTCTACTAGACTCTTAATTTTAAAGTGTGATCTGTTATCATTTTTTTTTTTGGGTTGTGCAATCTTAGGCAATTATGTGTTTTCTGTGAAAATTCAAATATATAAGCATTTTAATCATACCTCTAAAATATATTTATGTTGTCTTTTGCAGTTTGATCAGCATTAACAAGCATCTTGGGGCAACCTCTTATTTATGGTAAGTACACGGCTACTTTCACAATACTTGCACAAGCTGATCTGTGACATTGTCAGTTGTTCAGTGTCAATTGCTAATTCTATTTTTTCTCTTTTTCAGGTTATGCATGTGGCAAACACTGCAGTTTGGAACTAGCTAGCAGGTATTTGTTGTTAAAACATTTCCGGCAGACACATGCACATTTAAGGGGCAGTTAAACTGTAAAAACATGTTTATGTTCATCTTTGATATAATCCTAATGTGTTTCTTTCTTGTTATTCGTTCACCTTGTTTCTGCTCTAGATTAAAAGGTGTTCCATAACGGCAGGTCGGGCGCTTCTGCGCATCATCTTTGCCGACCAGTCTGACTCTAGAAAACTGACCCTGGATTCGGGAATCCCAGCAACAGTTGAAGAACTGCACACATTTGTCAAGACATCACTTCAATTGAAAGAGGACTTCCGTCTGCAATACATGGATGTTGACTTTAACGAGTTCATGAATCTTACATCAGTGTCTGAAATTCAGGATAAAAGCACACTGAAAGTAATTTACTCTCCTATATTGTCAAATATTGAGCCCTCCATCACTTAGTACACAGTTGACTCATTTGATAAGACCTCAATTACTGGAAGCTCCGAGCCTCTAATCCCTGCATCATCAATAGCCTCATGCTGCAGAGATGATATGGTGTATACGTCAACCCCGCATCCATCCCCTGAAGCTCAGGCCTCACAATTGTTATCCTGGCCCACAGTTTTTGTGGTTCCTAAGCTCACCTACGAGGCTGAATTTGAGCTTCATCTACAGAATGCAGAGTTTGAGACAACTGGTACATACTTCCAGCCTGGCCTAAAGCTGAAAGGAGTCATTCTTGATGGCCTAGCCCAAGAAATGATCAAATTCACAAAATATCCAAAAGACTATCAGTGTGAAGAGGTAGCTGCAGCGTTGACGAGGGCCCACCCTTGTTTGGGGCAGCTAGGATCCAAGACAGGATTTGGGGGGTGGAAACAGTCTCTTAAGTACAAAATGCAAAACTATCGTAATCGTACAAAGCTTGGACATCCTGAAATCCTTGTGAACTCCTTAAAGCACAAGAAAACAGGCCAAGGCAAAGCTGCAGCAAACATAAAAAAAACAAGACAAGCTGAAATAAACTACATTCCTCTGCACCCAAAAGGCGAAACCACAGAAAGCTTGGAGAACGAGAGAATTGCCTTATTGTCAGAACTGAAAAAGCGTGACAATGAAGTGGTGATAAAAGCAAAAATGGAAAAAACCTTCTCCCAGACGCCTTGAGATTGTGGAGCAAAGGCCTTTGATAGGGGACTTCAAATGCAGATGGCCTGCTCTGTTTCAGCAGAGTGAAGTAAGTAAATATTTGTATTTGTTGACAGTCTTTTATTATTGTCCTTTGTGATTCATGTCTACATCCTTGCATGGTTGTGATTCTAATAAACAAGTAACAATTGGTTGTATTGTGCTTGTTAATAATATTTTTAAGGTGAATGCGGAGTTTTTGAGGATCACAACATCACCACTTCAATCAAAGTTCATGTGGCAGCTGGACCACTTCTCAGACAAGCTCTTGAAGATCTTCAAGACCAAAGGAGGACTAAAGTGCCACAAAATCAAGGAAGCCCTTGCAATATCAGATTCGGTTAGTATAAATGCAGAGAACCTCGTTTTTCACTATTGTTTTTGTCCATGCTGATATGAACACATTTAAGAAATTGTCTGCTTTTATAGTGTTTTTAAGGCAATAGCTTATTGTGGAAATGTAGGGGTAATAGGGTAGTAGGGGGCGTGTCGTGTACCGTCGTGTACCGTCGTGTACTGTCCGCGTCCGCAGCTAGACCATATTGGATTTCTTCCCAACTACATTTGACCTAGCAGCAACTGTTTCCAGGTCACTGCTGAATGGAGCGCTCTGATTGGTTGATCGGGAAGACAACGACGAAGAAGAAGGCAGATGACGTCACGGTGAGAGCGCCCCCTAGAGACCCGGATGAAAACAACCTGGAAGAGCGATTTTTAAAAGTACATATTTTAACAAAAGTATAAACAATATCTTGCATGATATCTCACCCCCAGTTTCCACCGGGTCCGTCTGCGCCGCACTGCGCCGCGTTACGGCTGCGCCGCGGCGGTCGTAAGGATCGCGGCCACTCTAGTCAATGGGTGCTATTCCACCACACGCGCTGTGTTACGGCTCAGACGCGTCCCAGAAGCGGCTCGGCGCAGCGCTTCTCTAAAATTAGGATGAATCCTATTTTTGCCGCGGCGCAACCGTAACATAAGGTCGGGCAGCCCCCCCTCGCAGGAAGTGGAAAGGTGAGCATCCGGGCCAGGCCCATCCCCCACATATACTAATTTAGCAGACCCCCCTCCTTCATCACAACACCTCCACTATGATACGCACAATGGACGACGAGGTTTTCATCATGGAAGTGGAAGAACACACTATTTGATATGATGTAACCGATGCTTACTACAAGGACAACATCAGAAAGGACAAGGCCTGGTTTTTAGTCGCTGCAGTTTGTGGAGTGGAAGGTAACAACTACATATTAATGTTTTAAAGTTAATTAATACTTGTAGATACAGGTACAGTACAGAGCCATTCAGTAGTTTAACATCTTGTGAAAGTCGTTAAAAGGAGGAGGAGGAGGTTGACTTCATGGACGCTGCTTTTTGTAAATCTTTATTGAACTTGATGACGATCACAGTCTTTAATACGTTGCTTCAAGAAAACTTTATTACAGACACAATCAGTGAGACACAGGGTAACCAATGAGAAGCCTCCATTTAAAACACCAACATGTAACCCCAGGACAGGAAGTGGTCTCCCCCAGGACAGGAAGTGGTCTCCCCCAGGACAGGAAGTGGTCTCCTCCAGGACAGGAAGTGGTCTCCTCCTACAGAGGACACAGAGACATTGAGGAACCAAACCAGAGCATAAACCCAGCATAGAGAGGTTCAGTGAATGTGGCTCTGAAGGTGTGGAGGTGGGTCAGTGAGTCAGAGGAGACTTCGTAGAAGGAGAGAGAGCCAGCAGGATGATCCAGATACACTGCTACTCTACCAGAGGAGGAGGAGGAGGAGGAGGAGGAGGGGGAGGAGGAGGAGGGGGAGGAGGAGGAGGAGGAGGGGGGAGGAGGGGGAGGAGGAGGAGATGTTTGTTTCTCTCTGATTGTGACATACAGAGTAACCTCCATCACGAGAGCAGTCCAGACTCCAGGACTGATCATTCTTTCCAAATAAACAGTCTTCTCTGTCTCTCCTGCTGATTCCTCTGTAAGTCACTGCTATATGAACCCCTCTTCTCCACTCGACCTCCCAGTAGCAGCGACCAGTCAGAGCTTCTCTGCACATCAGCTGAGGCCAGACATCAAACCTCTCTGGATGATCAGGATATGGCTCCTCCTCCTCCACACATGTCACCGTCCTGTTGTCCTCAGACAGTCTGAGGTGTCTCTCTGCTGTGTTTGAGTCATGGGTGAGTCCACAGGAATCTGAGGAGAGACACAGACAGCAGTTTATCATCAGACCCACCTGAAGGCTTTCCTCTCTGTTAGTGGTCTTTCTCTAAAGCTTCAAGGTCAGTCATGTTCTAATGAATACCACCTCCATCATCTGTGTCTGGAGAGAAGCTGATCCACACTTACACTTCCTCAGACCTGCTCTGATCCTCTGCTCTCCACCATGCTCCAGCCTGGAGGAGGACACATGTGAGAAACAGAACAGCATATTGTTAGAATAAAGTATTTATCAATGTTCATCATAATAATGAATCCTATGTGTCCGAAGGGAGCAGGAGGAAGCATGCTTATTGATCCCCTACTTACTGCTGATCAGTGATTATTAGGGCCGGGACTTTAACGCGTTAATTAAGATTAATTAATTACACAAAAATTAACGCGTTAAAAAAATTAACGCATTTTAATCGCACTTATTTTTGCACCGCGGAACGTTTCTCACTGGATGAGTTTCAGGCGTACCGATTATACTGGAGCACCAACTAACGTTCATGACTTCAGACAACAACAAACCACAGTGAACAACAGTGGGAAATGTTGTTTTAAAAAACGGACGGATGGAAGCGTCGATAAGAGCACGGTTGTGTGCAAATTATGCAAAAAGGAATTTGCATATCACCGCAGCACATCAAGCCTCAAGTATCACCTCAATGCAAAAACATATAGCAGCTAGCGTGGAAGCTAGCGTGGACGTTAGCCTCTTTTATCGCGTTCACACCAAAAAGAGCCGGTACTAAAATTAGTTCATGAGAACCTTTTTACCCCCACGAAAGTCCCTGCTAGAGAGCAGAGAGCTGCTAGAGAGCAGGGACTTTCGTACGGCTCTCTTGTGAGAAAAGAGCTATCAATCAATCAATCAATGTTTATTTATATAGCCCAATATCACAAATGTTACATTTGTCTCAGTGGACTTTACAGTTTGTACAAAATATCAGTATGACAATACGACACCCTCTGTCCTTAGACCCTCACATCGTACAAGGAAAAACTTCCTATATTGCTATATAGCTATATTTCTGATTGGCTGGGCGGATTGCAAACCACGCCCCGTAAAACTCCCAAAAAGTTTTGTGAAGCCGCCATTTTATTATCCTCGCATTAGCATTATTAGCATTAGCCCAGCGCAGAAACGCAGAGAGACAAATTTATGGCAACACAAAATAAAACATGGGAGCGGTGGAGATGAGGAGGTGTCGGCGTTCTGGCGATTTACTCGGAAGGCTGCTGGGAGTCCCAGCAGCTTCTACTGAAGCCAGTCCCCAACTCCGGGGACTTCCGGCCGGGGACTTTGGGCGGCAGTATACGCCGTGAAGTGGTTTGCGGCCTGCCAGTAAACCCAAAGCAGAAGAAGAAGAAGTGACGTCAGCGGCTTCATTTGCCTAATCCTCCCCCAGGTTCAAAGAGTTCTCATGAACTAAATTCTCATGAACCTTTGTGGGAAAAGTACTGCGGTGTGAATGTGCCTAATGGTGTACTAAAATCCATGTGAAAAAAAATTGCTTCTCACTGTTCTTAGGTCAAATATGTATATGCGATTAAAAATGCGATTAATTTCGATTAATTAATTACAAAGCCTCTAATTAATTAGATTAATTTTTTTAATCGAGTCCCGGCCCTAGTGATTATCCTTTCAATCATGTCTGCAAGTTATTCCTACTCACATATTTACATTTACAATCACTTGTCCTCTTCAATCTCCTTCATCCTCACACTTCTCCAAAGAAGTGTTTCTGTGCATCCTTCAAAGTGAATGCTATGTGTGCTTAGTCTGAACTCCTGCTCCAAAGCGCTCCATGAACCCCCCACAGAGTTCTTCTGACCTTGAGTTATTTCAGATCTCCTCTCAGATGAGACCCCCCCTCTCTGTCTGTGAACACCGTCTGTAGTTTCCTAGCAAGGAGATGATCTCTTGCTCTACATGCATGGTGCACTTTGAAATGTAACAGATCAGTGAACTCCAGAGTGTGTGACTTCAAGAATAATGAAGAGTGAGTTCAAGATATCCAACATTACTGATTACTCTTAGAGCCCTTCTTTGTAATGTGCAGAACGGCTGCAGGTTGGTTTGGTGTTTCCCCAGATCTCCACTCAGTCACTCAGACATGGAGACGTGAGAGTATCACTCAGAGTACATCATGATGTGAGAGTATCACTCAGAGTACATCATGATGTGAGAGTACCACTCAGAGTACATCATGATGTGAGAGTATCACTCAGAGTACATCATGATGTGAGAGTATCACTCAGAGTACATCATGATGTGAGAGTATCACTCAGAGTACTTCATGATGTGAGAGTATCACTCAGAGTACATCATGATGTGAGAGTACCACTCAGAGTACATCATGATGTGAGAGTATCACTCAGAGTACATCATGATGTGAGAGTATCACTCAGAGTACATCATGATGTGAGAGTATCACTCAGAGTACATCATGATGTGAGAGTATCACTCAGAGTACATCATGATGTGAGAGTATCACTCAGAGTACATCATGATGTGAGAGTATCACTCAGAGTACATCATGATGTGAGAGTATCACTCAGAGTATAAAACGGACAAGTCCAATCAAGCAATCTGATTGGTTCTTAGCCGTGATATACTGAGCGTATACCACGGGTAGAATTGTAAGTTACTTTTCACAACAAGTCAGTATCCCTCCGCGTCTGAGAAAAACAGTATACCGTTGGGCTGAAAATCAAACTGCCTGCAGTTTGCTTTTCAAACTGGAACAAGAAAGCAGCGGAGAAGCAACGGGGCAGAAACCCTCCTTTTACGCAGCGGTCCAGACATAGACATCAAACGGCAAAACATATTCAGTGTGCAGTTCCTTTGGCATTAGGGCAGGGATATCTAGATACTTCCCAAGGTTTGACATCATGAGTTGAGCTACTTTTAAAGCAAGCAGCGATGTTTTCAAATCTGTAATCAAAGAGGTCCGCAAAAACACTATCGACCAATCAGATTGCTTGATTTGACTTGTCAGTTTTATAAATATATTTACATTTCTTCCGTTACGAAACAAACTTACAAAGCATAAGATGGAAACATTTAAGATTAACTTGGACCTCCGGGGGGGTCTCACTATGGAGGAGTGGATTGAGCAGTGTCTATCTCCAGAGAGCACCTAAACGACAACATGCAGAGCTACGTGAAGAGCAGGTAGACCAACTGGAGAGCCAGTGTAATCCCACCCTCTGATGCCACACCTTTCCAGTGTTGCAGTAACATGTTGGGATCTATGGCGTCTAGGGGTGTAACGGTTCACAAACATTTCGGTTCGGTACGTACCTCGGTTTTTTTGGTCACGGTTCGGTTCGGTTACAGCAGAATTTTTTTTCACAGAACAAAACATATATATATATTTTTTTTATTATTATTAACTGTGAATAATGTATTCACTCAAATAAATACAAAATATAATAAAATAAACATTAAGGTGCAGCATTTCGATGAACTGAAATAATCTGTATTTGAACTTTACTGTAGGCTACTAGTACTCACAACATATAAACTATTAGTTTTGGGTTTTTAATTATTATTAAACTGTGAATATTCACTCAAATAAATACAAAATATAATAAAATAAACATTAAGGTGCAGCTTTTCGATGAACTGAAATAATCTGTATTTGAACTGTACTGTGCTAGTACCTAAGCAGCCAGTTTGACATTATGACTTGCTTGTCATTGTATTTTCATGTTTTTTTAAAGAAAAATGAACTTGTCCACATTGCTTGCCGAAAGGGCAGATCTGCTGGCACTAACAATGTCTCCTGCTGTGGAGAACACCCTCTCGCTAGGGACAGAGGTAGCAGATACAGCCAGGTAGCGCTTTGCTAACATGGCAACATAAGGATATATGGCGTTTGTAATAGCTTTGGCTCGGTCTGAACTCTCTGCGAGTGGTGGAGGCTTACATGCTAGTAGGAGTTGGGTTTGCACTTCAGTCTGTTTTCTTTTGGTACCGGTGATATTCACGTTCGGGTGATGCCTTTTCAAGAGTGTGCAAGTTTGATGTATTGCCAGCCGCGTAACCAATTTTAGTTGAACAATGCCGACAAACAGCTTTGGTTCGGTCCACCTGTCTTTGTCCTTCATCCTTGTACGTAACTGCGAAACCAAAATGTTCCCAAAACCGGAAACTTCAATGATGCTGGAGGATTTTCGAGCTCAACTTTATCTGCGTTCGCCATTAATTTTCGACAGTTCCTCAAATTACTGACTACATTTGAACGCATCCCTCTGACCAGCTCTCATAGTATGCCTCTCATCCAATGAAATGACTTGCTCGCTCTATGACGCGTTGAACCCAATGTGACCAAATTACTCTGAATGCTGCGACGCAGCACCTGAGATTACTTCCAAAAAGTTGTTCACGTTCTCAATTTTTTACGTTTAACGTTATATTCGTTCGGTACACTTCGGTACACACCTGTACCGAACCGAAGGGCCCGTACCGAATAATTTCGGTACGGGTACGTGTACCGTTACACCCCTAATGGCGTCACATGCTTCCTGTAGCTCTATCAATATTCCCACTGCTTGTTTTTTATTGTCCAAGCAGTTTGCTATTTCCTCACTTAATCCCATTAGTGCCGTACATGCTGATCTGTCTTTCCTGAATCCAGATCGACTGTCGTCCAACAGCTGATGTGTTTCCATGAAACTGTCAAGTCTTTTTGTAAAAACCTTTTCAAGGATGAAAGTGGGAGAGCAAAGAAACATGTGATGTGTGTCACGGTGTTTATCCCAGTTTGATATCATGGTATAACTTTAGCTCTTTTCATTTCATTAGGGAATGTACTAGATTGAAAAGACAAGTTACAAAGATGTGTTCATGGTTCTGCAATGTCTTCAATAATGTTTTAGACTCTAATCATATCAATATGATTCCAATCGGTCGAGGACTTGCTTTTATATTTCCGCACAGTGTCTATGATTTCTCTTTCTTCGACTGCTCTGAGGAACAAAGAGCTATTGTTTTCATTCCAGAGGTCTGTATCTGTTACGATTATTGTGTTATGTCACGTTTTGTATGTCTTGTTTTGGGTGTTTTGCTGTTCTCCCTGTCATGTTTTCCTCCTGGTTTATTGTCTGGTCCCTCTTCCAGGGTTGCGTTCCAATAGTCCATTTAGCTTAGGAACCTTCCTAACGGAGTGAAATGACCCGGAAG